CCCCCCCTATCACATCCCTGCCGCAGTTTATCATATACCTTTTGCAGTTCTGCGGAAGAATTTTTTCTTCCCCAAGCAGCCTGTGGTGGTACAGGGTATTTTGTGTTAAGAAATAAACTGGGGTTGAGATTTTCCAGGCTTGGGCTTTCCTGTGGTCATGGGCCCTTAAGTCTCCCCCCAAGCAGTCGGTGCCCCCACGTTGCTCCACCCTGCAGCCGTGCATGTAAATTGGGGGCAGGCCGGAGAGTCCCGGCGTCCATAGATGGTCCCTGCTGGCCAGGGCCTCAGTGAGGGCTCGGCGAGCGGTGCAACTGGGAACTATGTCCTTCCGACGTAGTTACGAGCTGGACAGAACGAGGAAAGCTTCGTCCACCCTCCTCTGCTGCTGCGTACGGCGTGGGGAGTGCTGCCTGCAACAGCCTTGAGTGGGGGGCTCTGGACCTCCTCGGGCTGCTCAAGCTTTCCTGGAGGACCTCACGGGTATTTCAGGCTGCAGGAAAATGTACTGGGGAAATCATGTTAGGTAAGGCTGCCTGGGCTGCCACGGTCTGCCACGGACCTTCTCTAGCCAAGGATGCTTTTCATTTTAGCAGTGGGGTTTTTTGGTGGGTTTTTTGGTAATAGGCCAGGAGGCTGAAAAGATGAAATGTACCTGGAACTGCCGGTGAAGGCTAATGTTTTCCTCTTGCTTTTGCTGCCTCTGTAACTGCTGACAACAACCCAGTTGCGGTATAGAAATGTATAGAAAGAGACACTTTTGAGTGGCTGTCAACCAGCAAATACATGGAATCTGTACCTTTCTGGCAGCGAGTCTAATCCGTATGTCCCTGCTTTCCTCCCGCTCCGCCGCTCCACGCCTCCCTCCCGCTTCCCGATTTTCGAGTTTAATTTGAGGGTTTTGATGTGTTGATTGTGATGACTGCTGACATAAAGTATTCATAGTTTATACTGTCAATGGTTGACAAAGCTTCGGAAAAGCTCCTTGCCCCCATCTTCGTCTCGGTGCTTGTGTCTTATCAGCACAAATTTATTTCATCTCTTTGACTTTTTCCTTTTGGTTTTGTTTTGGTTTTTTGGTTTTGTTTTTTTGTTCGTTTGTCTGTTTTGTAGAATTCTTTTCACTGTGACTGTGGTCTGGCAGGCTGTTCATTTAGGAAAAGGTAAGGAAAATTTCCTGTCTCCCCCCACTTCCCCCCGTCGTGTTACTCCTGTACCTTTACAGTATTCATTGCTTCGTTACAAGCTAGCCTTCCCTCTTTGCATTTCTTGCCAAGGTCGTGAAAAAGAAGGTGAGGATGTGCGAAATCTCAACGCCACGGCACAACAGCAGCAGATCAAGAACGAAGGGACTGTCATAAATGCTCTCAGTGACCTGAATCAGAGTTACGAAAGCAGAAAGCAACAAAGTTCCAGGGCATTGATACCTTTCACCGGGATTACAGAGAGTAGGCAACATTATGTATTTAAACAATGCCATAAAATTGCTTTTTAAAATATTATATCACAGTCATCCTTTGCGTGTTGTCCTGGAAGATTCCAGCCAGTCGGTTTTCTGTGGCTGCTCATTTAAATTGTTCCCGTGGCCACTTATGATATGGTGGTAAAGATTTAAGGTAGAACCGGGGATCTTTTACCTGCAAAAGGTGCTAACGGAAGTTAGGGAAGGCTACTAGGAATTAAGCAGGGATTGGTTCCTCGGACTTGCAAAAGAGTTTGCAAAACTTTGTAAAATTCTGTTCACTTTACCTAATTCACCATATTTTATGAGCAAAATTTTTTCATTAAAAAAATACATTTTGAGCTGTATGAAAGCAACAGTACTAACGGGGAGGGGGAAGCAACAAGAACAGATATATGTGGGAGGAAACATAAATAAAGTTTTAGACTGGTACTCAGTCCCAGGAGTCTGAGAAAGGCTTGAGGGAGCATTCTCCTCTCAAAACTAAGAAACTCCTCCTAGTAACAAAGCCTCCTTTCTTCAAAAGTAAGCACCACTTCCCGGTAACAATGCCCTATTTCTTGGTGTGACTGAAACCTGCCTCCGTCAAAGTGAAATATTTCACTTGAATACAAGCTGCTGCTGCCCCAGGACTTGCCAGGCGCTGCTTCTTGACCGTCCTGTAATCCCTGGTAGTTTGCTTCTAATCCTTAACTAAACAAACTGGGCTTAACTGAACAAACACTCCTAACAGGCAGATAATTTTACTGTCTCTAAGGACAATAAAACTAGATATCCTTAAGATCCTTTGGCAACTGGAGAGACCTGAGAGAACAAGTGAGGAAAAGGGGAGGTTCGGAGCCTCCGTGATGCCTGGTAACCCCTGTAATAATGTCTTTGCAGGTAAAAAACTGAACAGACACTGCTGCCAAAACGGAGGCACCTGTATCCTGGGGGCTTTTTGTGCCTGCCTAAAGCATTTCACTGGCAGATACTGTGAACATGATGAGCGACAAAGGTAAAAACCAGACCAAACCCAGAGAGAGTGACTGAGCTGCTCTGGATGGTTGTTTGCTGCAGTGGGACCAGGGAGGTACCAAATGTCTCCATTGTCCTTGACAGCAACTGCGGCAGCATCGCCCACGGCGCCTGGGTGCTGAAGGGCTGTTGGCTGTGCCGGTGCGGCTACGGAACTCTGAACTGTCTCTCAGAAATAATGCACGATAAGTGTGGTAAGGAACGGCGTCAAATCAACCATTTTTATCTCGTAGGTAACAGAACTGTGTCTTATGCAAAGGTGGAGGTACTTGCAGCATGCTGCATGTGCTCTATTTAGACTTCTGCGGTGGCCCGCGTTGCTTCAGAGAACGCATTAGTGACACAGTAAATGTTGCCTGTGTAGTACATCACATAAAATACTTTGACATCTTTATAACCCTGTGCAGCAGGAAATCTACCCCACCCCCACCCCTATTTTAATTGCAAATTACTGGGATTAAATGTTTCTCTCTTCCGCAAAACTTTCACATGTCTGACTTCCCACATAAGCAGGACAATTTGTACATCTAAACTATATCCAAGCATACAAAAACCTTTGTTGGATAAGAAAAGAAGAAAAACAGCAGTGTAAGCTGGTGCAGTAGAAGTAGAAACCAGTATTATGCTACAAGTACTGAAAGCTTTCATGTTCTTGCATAAGCTACTTAACACATAAATGGCAGAAAACCAGTATGAACCTTAAAATACAATCTGTATCTTAATCCTCAAAGTATCTTGTACAGAGTTCTCAGACTGAGCACACTCTATAAAAAAAAAAAGTGTAGCCATACTGCTGACTAGTGTAAAGTAGTAGCACCCAGTGTCCTCAAAAGCACTGCATTACTTTAAGCCAAATCTTTATACAGCAGCCTCTGAAAATCCCTGTATAAAAGTTTGAGTAGTTTTGAAAGCTGCATATCAGCTAGAATAAAGATTTGCAGGATTGCTTTGCAGGTACTTACTTTCTATGGAGAACTAGCTACTGAGATTGTTTTCAGTACTCTGAGATGACTAATGAGAGTTTAATATTGTTTTATCTGCAGTGGCAGAGTTAGAGTAAAAGATTTTTTACCCTTCTCCATCCACAGTTTCTCAAACACATCCTGTACTGTAATATATTTCCTTCATTTGTGCCAACGTCATTAGTAACCAGGGTAAGAAAAAAACAGACCTAAATAGGTTCAAGATTCATTTGCACCATAAGGGACTACCAGCCTCTTCTTTCCTGACCAGATTCCTATCTGAGCATTGAAGCTGTGACTCCTGGGTTATACCACCAACTCAGAAGTAAATACAGATTTCAAACCCTGAGCCTTTTAGGTTCCCAGGATATGCCCTACTGTGTAATAAGCCCACAAGTCCAAAGAAGTGAAATGCAAAAGAAAGGTAACATTCCTGTCTTTGTTATCGCAGACAGAAAAAAACCCACCACCAACCTCAGGAGTGGAGTAAAAAAAAAAAAAAAAGTGGGGGTATGAAATCCCACCCAAATTAAAAACCCACCACCAAAACCACTTTTGTCTTGAAGTCTTCTGTACTGGCTAATTTTGTGTGGCACCCAACTTTAAACTCAACAGAGATAACTGCTCAAGTTCCCTTGGGTGTTCACCTTTGAATCAGTCCTATTGTTTTCCATTACAGGAGCAAAAGACCTATCAGGCACCAACATGCTCAATAAAAGCAGTCTCTTGCTTACTACTCTTGAGATCAGCTTATAGAGACAATAAAGGTGGCAGTGGAAAATCATCCCTCTGTTCATTCCCTGAGCCTGGGCTCCGTGGTTTTCACATGCTTGAGGGTATGGCTCTCCGCTTGTGCTAATAAAAGAAGACCCGTCTTGTTAACGGAAGGGCTATCAGGCACCAACATGCTCAATAAAAGCAGTCTCTTGCTTACTACTCTTGAGATCAGCTTATAGAGACAATAAAGGTGGCAGTGGAAAATCATCCCTCTGTTCATTCCCTGAGCCTGGGCTCCGTGGTTTTCACATGCTTGAGGGTATGGCTCTCCGCTTGTGCTAATAAAAGAAGACCCGTCTTGTTAACGGAAGGGTTAAAAGGCTACATGCAGAATTGAGTGCATACCTCTTGTGAAGATCCTGCTCTTGCTTGGTATTTACTTTTTGATTATTCTGAGATTAATGCCTGCAAGAGCTGATAAGTGCTATCAGTTGCTCCTCAAACGATCATTGATGGGACATCTATTCACATCTCTCCCCTGAGAATAGCTTCTTTGATTGGCTTTAACAGCTGATACCTTTAACTTAAGTACCTGTGAGCTGTCGGAGGACTTTCAAAGTATGTTGAAAATATTTGGTTTTGGTTTAAAATTTACATTTTTTACTCACTAACCGTTTTATTTTCTTGATACTTTTGTAGAAATGAAATCAGGAAAGGAGGAAATTACTAGACTATATTCTAATGGCCTAAGATTACAGCAAACAGTGTTTGTACTCGCTTGCCTGCTCACCGCCCTCCTGGAGTTCTGCAGCTAGCCGTTGTGAAACTGGACAAAGGGAAATATCAACCCTCACCATGACTCATACAACTTTTTTCTTCTGTGAGCTACAGAAGACACTGCTACCTATGCGTTGGAGGCAGATTAAGATGTTTTAGTTAATGCTGAAATGCTCGGATTATTGTAAATTCAGATTATAAGAGTGTGAAGTATTTTATTTTATTAATACTATCAATGTCTGGTTCTAATGATTCTTTAGTTCTAAAATACTGTTCTTCCAGTGGAAGCAAAAAAACCCAATATTCTATGCCTTAAGTATTGTATATTATAGTATTTTCCTTTGTACACAGTTCACTATTTTAACAAATAAAGCTGATTTAACTTCTGAAGAGCTTTTATATTTGGCTTTATTTAAGCTTTTATTAATACTATCAATGTCTGGTTCTAATGATTCTTTAGTTCTAAAATACTGTTCTTCCAGTGGAAGCAAAAAAACCCAATATTCTATGCCTTAAGTATTGTATATTATAGTATTTTCCTTTGTACACAGTTCACTATTTTAACAAATAAAGCTGATTTAACTTCTGAAGAGCTTTTATATTTGGCTTTATTTAAGCTTGAAAATTGTTATCTACCATTTGTCATTGTATTGTATCCTGTAACAAAACAGTAAGGAAAAAGACAGGGTAGAATGAACAATCTCAAATTAGAAGAGATAAAGAAGGTTTTAAGAGTAGGTATATTTCAAATCCTAATGCATGGAAGAGCTCCAGAAGTGACATAGACCTCCAGTTTTTGTCATTATTTGTTACAGCTAAATTGTACCTATGCATAATCTTGGGCAGGAAGTGTATGGTTTAAGAAGATACATCTGACACTTATTTGTCTTAAGGGGGTCTATTTTATTTTGCATCCTAGAAATATGAGCTCCTCTTTCAAAATGATAGCAAAGAGCAACTTCTTTAGAGTTTTTCTATAGGAAACCTGTCTTGACTCATATACCATTTAAATATGAGTATTTCTAGGCTATTAAAAAAAATGTTTAGAAAGTGTAACTGCACTTGTAATGCAAGTGTATAAAACACCAGAAACATGTTTGTGAAAAAAAAAACAAACCACCATAAATTGCAGAGAGAAGTCTAAAATGTGCCTTCATGCTCTGAATGTGGAACTACCGCATAGATACAATCGAATTTATAATTTTGTTGGCCTAAAAGACATTATGAGTGTTTAAAATCCTTAAAGACTTTTTATGTCTTTAATACATTTAATTCTTAAAATTTCTTTATTAATTGTTTTGGTGCTACAATCCAGGACAACACTCCAGTTATTAAACAGAGAAGGGTAAATCACCAACAAATGTCACAATATTTGCCTGCCTTTTGAATCTATGGCTATACAGTAATGGACTTTTATAATGGAGTCATTGTGTAAAAACATACTCATGTTACTATTCTTTTCCACACACTAGTCTTAATTGGAAAGAGTAAGGTATCTCACTTTCCACATAAGGTGCAATAGCCTAGAAATGTTCCTTTTCTCATTATTTCCCATAAACTTGTCTGTATCCATATGCCTGTGTTTCCATGGGCTTTGAAAAGGAGGCACCAACTTAGGACAATTAAATATCAAAGAGAACAGCTGGAGGAAAATAGTCATGCCTTTATTTATCAGATGTTGAAATTGCAGGAATGGCATTGTGAAAACATCTTGGCTTGCCATAAAGCATACCTGAGAAGTCTGTAGGTAATACAGCTTGTAACGTGCTTTAAATAGGCTTTACTTTTTGAAGGAAAGCAGCAAGCTAAGTGGAAAGTACACAGTACAGTAGAAATACATCTGAACTAATGCTTTTTTTTTATCCCTACAGAAAACATACAGAGCCATAAAAGATTGCAATTAACAAAAAGAAAGAGTGGTCTAATACAGGTTATATGACAGAAGAGCTATTTCTGTTGCCATAACATCCACAGCAGATTTAATCAGGAAAAGCTGATCTGGAATAACTCCTTATGTAGATGAGCCTATGTGCATACAAGAGTCAACTTGACAGAGCTGTACGTTATTGGGTCGGTATGACTTGATGGATTAGAGCAATTGAAAAGTCTAGCAAAGCAACATTTTCCTGCTGTACCAAAACATCAGTCCAAGACATTTAATTAGAAGCAGCAAGGTACAGTTTCTACGGTTTCAAAGCATTGCATGGGGAACTTAGCTCAGTAAGTGATTCTAATTAATGTCACTGTAAATCACTACTCACTCTGAATGCTAGGATTTAGAATTTTTCCCCTATGTACTTGGAAGAAGTGATAGAAGGTTTTTGTTTGAAGATTGCAGTTCCTTTTCTCTGTCTAACTTACGCCATTGCATTCTGTGTTACTGGAAAATCTGAAAATGATTGCTTCAGGACTGTTTTACATCTACCACACCATGGCAAAATGCATCATCGGTGATGGTTATTTGTGGAAGTCTGGTCTTTGTGTCGTCTCTGGAAGTTGCCACGAGTGAGGCAGAAGGGAGCACAGAGTCTGTTCTTGCATACCTCTGAAGCAGAGTCAGGCACAGGAGTTGAGTTTGAGGAGAAACAGGAATCTCCTTAAGTTAAATTAAAAAAAAAAAAAAGAAGAGGGGAAAGAAAAAAGAAAAAGCATTCAGAAGCTGTCCCATGCATCGTCTCATTTGCAAATAAAAATATAACTAAGAAGGAAGAAAACTGAAAGCTCTGAGGAACAAAGGAAAGCCCACATTCACAGTCTTCGCTTAGGTTAAAACTGTCTCCGCTTTTATCTGTCTCCAGCTGTTTGTAAGAACAGATAAAAGAAAGCAATATTTTCCTTCCCTGCTACCATGTAGGCCTGGCCAACCTTCTAACACCACAATTATAGGCACTTTGGAGAGGTTTGTTTATAGCAAACAGTGATGCTTGCTCTCCAGCCTCATGCTAACTCTTTTTATCGGCCTCTTTGTCAAACATGGCACATCCCAGCAAAACAGACATCTGTTGCCACAAGTTCATGCATGTGCCCTCTCTATATGCAGCCACATTTGGGCAGGGGGAAGACTCTCAAAGAGAAATATTTATCAAATGCTTCACAGACCTCAGAGCCGTTAGACCTTTCTCTCCTCACAGTTAACTCCAAAACTAAAACAAATGGTGCAGCCCACAACTGGCCTCCGAGGCTTCACCCCTGCAATCGCTCCAGCCTCCATCTCTCCTCAGGACATGCTACTGATAAGGACCCCAGACCAGGGGAGCAGTGTGGCGGCGGGGGCTACCTCCTCTGCTGCCAAGAGCCCTCAGAGCTGGAGCTCCGCAGCTCTGGCGCAGGGTGATGCTGCCATCTGCCACTAACACGCTGCCCGTCTAAAGGGAGCGTTCGACTTTCCATAAAGGTCATCTAGTGCACCAAGGTTTCCTCATACAAACCTGAAAAACGAACTTCCAGGCACCAGATGCTGTGAAAGTGTCACTCGCTCAGCTCTTTGAGTATCTGATGGTTATCTCTCAAGGTGACTTTATTCCTAGCAAGGAGAGATGAATTTCTGTTGTCCCTAAGTGTTAATGGTGCCCATGGGTGACAATAGCTTTCCCTCACCTATAACTGTGAAAAAGGCCTTTTTTCTTTTTTTCCAGCCAGCCAAAAGAGAATCAGAAGTAATTTCCCACTTGTTTACCCAGAGGGTTTTTTTTTTTTAATTGTCATATTTGAGATTGCAAAGATCTACCCACACACATTTCATTATTCGTCTCTCATTGACTTTACCAGTGTGTCAGCAGGCTGCGTGTCTGGATCATTACACCCACCAGTTTCATGCGCCTGAGCAAGCGTACAGCAACTTCATATTTTGAATTTCATTTATTGGAAGGGCAATATTGTACGGCAGGCTGACCCATGTACAGAGCGACCCTGTGAATTGCAAGTTATAGGCATATGTCCTGTGGAGGCCTATCTAGTCACCCTGCAATCATCTTCTGTAATTCACTGCCTGTCTCACCTTTTTACAGCACCATCATGTATGAGTGTGGGAGACTAAACAACAACCGAGCAGCTGTATATTTGCACCCTGGAAAATTATCTAAGCATCGTGAGTACTCCTTGTGACTGCAAAGCACATTCGTGGTCTGAGAAGACATTAAAACATGTAATTTCCTCCATATTTGGCTGATTGACCTTGCCCTTGGCTGATGCTGCTGTGAGGGTGACTTCTTGTTAAGGGAGTGAAGGTGCCGTATGCCACTGGAATAAAACCAGATGTCTTATGCATTTGTCTTCAGGTACACGCTGGCACAGCAATAGCTCTCATTAGCAACTCTCTTCATCTGCTGCAGCCCAACCACATTTTTACAAAAATACAACTTATAAACTACCCTGTGAGGCTTCACTTCAGATATCATTTGTATGATAACATGTGGATGAAATGAAACAGACTGGAGACTGGCTGATGTTATA